CACCACCACCACCACCACCCCCACCCAGCACTGCTTTTCTACTGCTAGTGCCACCGTCGCACCGCGAACGACGACTGTCTCTACGTCTTTACCATGCAATCATTTAAAACCGATGCGACTACTGCTACGACTATTGTTTCTAAGACCAGCGCTTGTTCTCCATCGGCGCCACCATGGTCATGGTTCGCCCTCGTTATCATCCTTGTCATCTTCATCAGCGGCAGTCATCATCATCACCATCACCCCTAATCCCTAAATTTGAACCCTAAACCGAAGAAACATAGTTGCGGGCCTTGTGGGCTCCCAGGTTTCATCAGCTTCATGCCGCGGACACTATTGCACTCAATGCCGCAGTCGCCGCCTGTGAGCAGGGAGGAGAATGGCAGGCAGGTAGCATGTCAGATCTGCGAACAGGGCAGGAGTTGAGGATTTGGCTTTCAGGGTTTGGGCGTGAGGGTTCAAAATGTCGTGCTGAAGCAACTGAGCGGCCTTCTAACAGAACATAGATGTTCTTGTTGAGCCAAGGCATCGGCTGCATTCTAGGAGCCTTCGTTCATATCGACTCGATACTCCGGGAAGCCAGGATAATTGGGAATCCTCCGCAGTAGCCCTTACAGCAACCTTTTGTGTATAGAAACTTGTTATAGTAGCCTCAACGCTTATAGCAGCCCACATTACAGCAACCCGTCTGACTGAACAATGATAAATTCCTTTGGAGCCTTCTGCACAGTTCTACTGAAGCCAACCCCCGAAACCTTAAACTTCTAAACCCGAAACCGCCGAGGCCTTCTGGTAGCTTTAGTGCATTGATAATCATATTATTCAGGTTCTTCTTCTTAGTACTATTATAACTCCCTTAGTACTGTTGCCATGTTGAAATCACCTCTTGCATATCGGCTTCTTATTACTATTAGTATTGTCTAAGTTTTAATACCGACAACTGCTGATCTGTGAAAGGCTGCTCTGCATCTTCTGTGGGCAGCCTCGCAGATGGGCCCGGAATTGGTGGCTCAGCCAATGTTTTCTCCTTAGGCTTTGTGGTTTAGGATTTCGGGCTAAGG